GGGAAATTGGGGGGAGGACGGACCCCAGAACATATGGCAAAATATGGCGAATCCTGGGAGTTGTGTATAGTTCTGTGTGTATCCCAGGGCCCTTTTTATTAAGAACAATCGTAAAACTATGGCGGTGTCTCGGCTTGCCCGCCAGCTCACGGTCGGGCCAGGGGGCCCGACCGCTCCGTGCTCCCTTCAGGGTAGAAGCCCCAGCGCGCATGCTTCGGCCATGTGGCGTCAGGCTCTGCGGCACCCGTTTGAGCGGATTCAGTGAGGCATTGAGCGGTATGCATGAGTGAATGAATGGATGAGTGAATGAATGAATGAGCGAAGGAATGAACAGCAGTGCACATACGTTCCCCCCAAGGGTTGCGGTGCTTGCGCTTGGGATTTCTCATCTCTTCTGAAGACTGTGGGCCTGTTGGACCGTCTTGGGGCAGTCCTGGTGGCCTCTTGGATCGACGTGGGACATCGGAAGCTCGAAAAGGCGAGAACCGAAGGACATTGAACAACTAACGAAAACAATGATTTGAGCCTCTCGGGGAAAGAAGACCCTGTTGAGCTTGACTCTCGTCCGACTTTGTGAGATGACTTAGGAGGTGTAGAATGAGTGGGAGCTTTGGCAAACTTGAAATGCCACAACTCTTAATGTCATGTTATTTATTCCGTTAGACTGAGACTTGCACCACAGCGAGTTTTGGATCTAAGGTTGTCTTTTTTGATGGTTGATCACTGTGCGGGAGACATAGTCAGGTGGGGAGTTTGGCCGGCTATGCTGTGGCCGTCGCCGCCCCGTCGCCCCCTTCACAGCCGCGCGTGACTGGGCCTGCCTGTCGGTCTGGCGGCTGCGTTGTTGCCGTTGCCGCCCCGTCGTCGTCTCGTCGCCGCATGTCGCCTGGGCCTGATTGGCAGCCCTGCGGCTACGCTATTGCCGTCGCAGAATCCACAAGTTTCCAAACATCCTTTGCAACAGATGAGACGAAGTGCACGCGTGCGCGCGCCGTCGCGCGCGCATGCCGAAATCATTCGAACGCCGTCGGTTTCGCAAGGATTTCAAAATCGAGTAAAACACACATGGCTTCGCCAAGAGACGTTTCATAAGATTATTGCCCTCGCGCTCTTGCGAACTGCCCTGCAACAATACCATGTGTTTTCCGTTCGTAAAGTGCTACCAAACGTACCCCTCGCGCGCGCGTCAAAAATCATCGCGCCCTTGCGCGCGTGTCGTCGCAGGAACCCCTTGCGTCGGCCGCGCGCGCATGTCGAAATCAGTATCGCAACCTTAATCGCCGACGCGAAGATACCATTATCGGCATCGGCGTGAGCAGTATCGACCCCGTCATTGCCCTTGCCGTCGTCATTGTCATCATCGTCACCAGCATCGCTACTATCATCATCATGTTTGCCGTTGTCGACGTTGAATGGTCCTGGCCCCAGGGGTTCGTTGTTTCGGGGCTCATTTGCGTTTCCTGGTTTTCTTGTCCCAATATTTGTTCGAGGCACCATTTGTTTATTTTCCTGGCCCATGTCGTCTGTTTGCTCCCGGCACCATGTGTTTTTTTTCCTGGCCCCAGAGCTTTGTGTTTTCTTGGCCCCATGCGTTTTTATCCTCGCCCCAGTTGTCTTGGTTATGTCTCCAGGGCTTTGTTCTCCTCCCTGGGCCCATGTGTTTTTCCTGAGCCCTGTTTGTTCGTCCTGGCTCCAGGGGTGTATATTTTCTCGGCCACATGTGTTGTTGTCCCGACCCCAGTTTTTTGTTCCTGGCCCAATGTGTTTGTCTTTGCTTCAGGGATTTGTTTCCGCACGCAGGGGCTTGTTTATTTCCTGGCCCAAATCGATTGTTCTTGACCCCACGTGTTTCTCCCTGGCCCCAGGGGTTTGTCGTCCCTGGCCCATGCTTGTTAACTGGCGTTGGTGGCCCCCGTTGCTTTTTCCCGGCCATATTCGTTTCTTGTTCTGGTCCCTGGTGCTCCGCGTTTGTTGTTGCCCGGTTTGATGCATCTTGGCCCCAGTTGTTGTTTTTTTTGTATCCTGGCCCCGTCTATTTTTTCCTGGCCCCATTCGTTGGTTCCTGGCCCCAGGTTCTGTCGTTTGTTTTGTTTGTTCTCCCTGGACCCGGGGTTCCGTTTTTCCCCTGGACACATTTGATTGTTTCTGGCTCCTGGGCCCGTTTGTTCCTCCCTGGGTCTATTTGTTTCGTCCTGGCCCCAGGGAGGTGATGATTCGTAGCTCCGTGTTTGATATTTTTTCCCTGGCCCAGTCTGTTTTTCTTGGCCCAACGGGTTCGTTTTGTTATAGCCCCATTGGTTTTGTCCTGGGCCCTTTTGTTTTGCCTTGGCCCCAGGGTTTTTGTTGGTTGTCGTCGCCCCAGTTGTTCACTCCTGGCGCCAATTGTTTATCTTCCTGGCCCATGGGTTTGGTTCTCAGCACCATTTTGTTTGTTCCTGGCCCCAGTTGTATTTGTCCTTGCCCAGGGGGTTGGCTTTGTCTTGGCTCCATGTTTTGTTTCCTGGCCATATTGGTTTTCCCCTGTCCCAAAGGTTGTTTTTCCGCCTCCCATTTGGTTGGCTCGGCGCCATTTGTTTTGCCCCTGCCCCAGGGGGGTGCCCCCCGCCCCCCCCCCCCTCCGGCCTCTCTCATATCCCAGCCCAGTGTGTTGCTTCCTGACCTCATTTGTTTTTCCTGGCGCCTGTTGTTTTTTCCTCTCCTTGGCACCATGTTTTTTTCTTTTTTTCGTGGCCCCATTGTAATTTCCTTACCCAATTTGTTGTTTCCTGGCCACCCTGGCATTTGTCTTTCCTGACCACATGTGTTTCTTTTCCGGATCCCACTTGTTTGCTTCTGTTCTGGGCCCAGGTTTTTTGTGTCCTGGTCCTTTTTGTTTCTTTGTTTGGGCCCTGGGGGTATTTGTCCTGGCCCTATTTGAAATCCTGGTCCCATTTGGTGTTCCTGGCTCCAGAGATCTGTGTGGTTCCTGGCCCCATTTGTTTTTCCCCCCTGCCCCAGGGTTTGGTTTCTCGTTGTGCCATTTGTGGTTCCTGGCTCCAGGGTTTGTTCGTTTCCAGGGCCTATTTGTTGTCGCTTCTTGGCGCCAATCCCTGGCCCCAGGGGTCTGTTTTTGTCCTGACCCCATGTGTTTCTGTAATGGTTCCATGTGTTTTTCCCTGGCCCGGGGAGTGTCTTATTTCTTGTTCTTGTCCCCTTTGTTTGTTTGGTTGGCCCCATTTGTTTCTTCGTGGCCCCAGGGTGCTGTTGTTTTGGTCCTGTCCTCCTGTTTTGTCCTGGCCCCATGTGTTTTTGTCATGGCGCCCCCTGGCTACATTTGTTGTTTGTGCCTGGCCTCTGGGGGTGTTTTGTTTCTCGCTCCATGGGTTTCGTCCTGGCCCCATTTGTTTTTGTTGTTCCAGGCCCCCATGGGGTTTTTGTCGGCCATGTGGTTGTTCCAGGCCCCGGGGGTTTGTTGTTCTCCGGCCCTGGTGTTCGTTTGTTCTTGGTCCCAGCGGTTTGCTTGTTTCCTAGCCCCATTTGTTTGTTTCTTGGTCCCATGTGTTTCGTCCTGGCCCCAGGGGTTTTGTTTGTTCCTGGCCCCCTTGTCTTTTATATGACCCCGTGTGTTGTTTTCTTGGCCACTGGTGTTTGTCTGTTTCGTGGCCCCGTTTGCTGTGTTCCTGGCACCATGTGTTTTTTTGTCCTGGCACCAGGGATTCGTTTTCCCCCCCAGCACTATTTGTTCGCTTCCTGGTCCCATGTGCGCTTTCCCTGGCCCAAGGGGCTTGTCATTCCTGGTTCACATGTGTTGTTTGCTTGGCGCCATGTGCTTTGTCTTAGTCCTGGACCCATATGTTGCTTCCTGGCGCCATTTGATTTTCCCTGGCCCCAGGTGGGTGTCTATCTTGTCTGGCCCAATTGTTTGGGGATTTCTTTTCCTGGCCCCATTTGTTTGTTGTGTTTCTGGTCCCATGTGGTTGTTCATGGCCCCTTGGGTTTGTCCTCTCCTGCCCCCATTGTTTTTCCCTGGCCGCATTGTTCCTGGTCCCCGGCCCCATTTGTTTTTGTTCTGGGCCCATGTGGTCTCGGCGCTCTTTTGGTTTTCGGCGACACTTTGGTTTTCGGCGCCCGTTTGGTGTTCTGCACCGTTCTGGTTTCCTGTGCCCGTTTGGTGTTCGGCGCCCCCCGCGCCCCATGCCTAATCTCATCGGGCCCTTGCAGTCAGAACCCAAGCAGTGTTGGCATGGCGCCCCCCTGCGCCACACGCTTCAATCTTCCTCCATTTCGTGTTGCCTTCCACCGTTCGTTTTGCCTTCTTCCCCCTTTCGTGTTACCGCCGCTCCCTTTTGAGTTAGCAGCCTTCATGTTCGTATTCACATCGACGTGTTTCTTTTGCATTCCGTCCGTGTCGGTGTGCATTTCCCACCGTCTGGTTTGTTGTCGTTCCTTTTCGTCTTTCCTTCAACATGTTGTTGTACATGCTTCTCTGTCCGTTTGCCTTGCCTTCTGTTGTCAAACCAATCCGCTCCCGTGTTCCTTATTATGTTTCGTGGTATGGTAATGTTCCTTTCGTTCGTGTTCGGTGGAGTTTTTTTGAATGGCCCCATAGTGACGCTTCTTCAGTGTGTTGTGTGTTGTTCGTGTCGGGCCCGCGTTGCGTGATGCTGCGCGTGTTGTTTCTCATTGGAAGTGGTGCGCTGCATTTTGTTATGATCCGAATGCAATTCACGCGTTATGTTTCGTTCAGCCCGAGTCGTTGTTCGGAAATGATCAAAACGCCACAACGAAACCAGCGCCAGACAAGACAGCTGAACATGTCCAGGATCAGCACGCAACAACACAGTAACGCATCGTTTGGGTCGCGCCCTGGCCTCCTCTTTCTCGCTCCTTCTGCATCCAGGCGATCCCCCACTCTCCTCTGCCCCATTCGCCCTTCCTGCTGGGATCTCAGGGGGTCGAGCAGCTGGATTGAGGGAGAGCGGCCAGGAGAGGCCCAGCGGACTCGGCCTCGGCCCCAGGAG